AGAAGTTGAAGATGAAGACCGTTGGTTTCTCGCGTTTCAGTTAACTTCTGTGATGGAAAATGGGAAAAACGCTAGGTCGGGATCTACTTCTTTAAAAACCAAACTTCCCTGAGAGATAATTGTTTGTAAAATTTACGAAGCCTGTACGATTCTCCCAATCAAAATGCCAGCGAAATCCCATTTCCTACTACATATGCGAACCCACATAGGAGATAAACCGAAACTTCACCTACTGTAGAAATTATTTTCGAAACCGTTGTCATTAAAACTTTTGTAGCTGTCTGGAAAGCACTGTGTGAGGTTTCTCGCTTGCTTTCAACATACAATGCCATTCGCAAAATTACCTCTGAACGATGAAAGTACGGTAATCCATATCGAGACTAGAACTAAGTCTCTCACATGCACTGACGGCTTAATAATTCGCATAATGAAGGGAGCTGTGAAAACAAGCAAATAACTCATACACAATCAAATCGAGTAAAATCAGTTAAGTACTTAACTCCTTTTATGATGATTCATTATTAAGGGTTCCAAAATAAAGAGTTAAAATTTAAAACCCACACAACGTTTGGAATCAGCAAAAAACAGATTCCATAACTTGATAAATAAAATGAGATTTTCTAACCAACAAGTATTAATTCATTAACAGCAAACAGATACAAAGCGGTAACCACTGGTAACACCAAAACATCGGAACATTATTCCAATCTACACCGTACGTTCTATGTGAATTTCTGAAAACCTGCGCATCATTGTAAAAATGTTGCTGGGATATGCAAACATACCCATTTTAAATCATATTTACATTATAGCCAAAACAACGGTTTGCATCACAGTTGCTTCTATTCATTGTCATCGTCACTGCGGCTATGCTTAACTCAAATAATTAAATACAATGGAACCAAAATTCTGACGGTTCAAAACCCCCAGAGCCTTGAAAATTGCAGTTAACTGCAACTTCAGGTTATAACTGATGAACATTTACCATTTTCAAAGTATTATGGGTACGTTGAAAATCAACCTTTTATACAATTGCGGGTTGTTCGTATCCAAAGATCATGTCATGTAGGTACAGGAGGAAGATAGCCTAAGTTCCCTGAATTATTTAAGATATCTAAAGTCTTTGAGGACGAGAAGTCATGCTAAAGGTCAAAACTGTCTTCTACTTTGACGATCCTGGTAAAAATCGGCATTTTATTCTGGTGGGAATGCGAAATTCAAGTTACCCGGCTAGGTACCTTGACGATATAGCGAACGCAAATGATACTGCAATGGTGAATGGTACAGAAAGAGGAGTTTATCGCCAAACAGCGTTCGTATACTGTACAGCCACGAAAGCCGGCTTCTTTCTCTCTGACGGTAAGTCAAAATTATTAAGAACCTATCATGCGCAGCAATTCTACGGGTACAGTTTGACATCTCTGTTCCACCAACGGCACTGTCAATTCACTGTTAAATGTGGGGGCACCCTTGAGGCTTACTACTTGGAGCAACCTGTCATGCATTTGGACTGAAAAAGATTAATAGGTTTAGAGAAAGAACCAAATGTATCTTGCATTGTTCAGCGTAACTTTATGGCATGGAAATTGCCCATTTAACAAAGTGCGAAAGAGAGCGGTTAAATAGCACAGAGCAGTAACAGCACATACATTAAATTGGTACAGTAAAATGAAATTATGTTGTTTTGAGCTGGAGTTGTCCGACGCGTTTTTCTGGCATTTAGAATCGTGCTTTTTGACTCATTGGTCAGACTCAGTAAATGGCGTTGAAGGACTACTACCCCCTATTTTAAACTGCATACTTATTTAGTTTGAGACCATTTAGAACCTCACTATCGATCATCATCTTAATTTCGTTAGAGGCTTAGTCTAACGCTGTGGCAATTCGGACAAAAAATACACCTGACCCGTAAGGTAACTTTTTCATCTGCTTGGCTCCTTTGCATCTTAATCTTTTCAGCAAAAGTCCTTGCACGGCTGATTGACATTTTGCGTTTCTTTCCGTTTGTTTTGAAACCTCTTCGTTAAGGACTGTTTGTTCACGCAATGAAACGTAATGCTTTCTCACGGCAGTTTGTATTGCGATGTACAGTTAGCTTTGTACTCTCTACAGATGATTCACAATGTCAGTCACCGTGATTTTAAACTTTTGAAAATGGCACGCACGTGTCGAATGTAAGCTGTCACAGATCAAACTCCTGAATGACTTCACAATGTAGATCGTCGGCCAATCGGTTTATTCGAAAAAGTAGACATGTTCGGTTGTCAGAAGACAAGTGGTCTTGATTAATGATGCAACGGTTATTTCAAATAAGACGTGCAATCCAAACCTAGCGCAGACATTCAGAACTGGTAGAACATTAACTTCTGACTCATGAAACACTAAGCTACGAAAATCGGTGCAGTCTCTGTCATTCACTATTGCACGGTACAATCCTGAATACCAGTAACATGAAATTGTCTTGTATTTGTACTCACCTTGAGAGTGCATTACATAGATAGCGCATTTTCCCCGCTAAGTTGAAACCGCTAGTATTTTCAGTTGTCGTGAATTATAAATTTTCTAATTTCTAAACATGCTGCCAAATGTTTTTCCATTCACCATTATCACAGAAGGTAAAAGTCATCTACATCCGTTTAACGACAGTTTTATTGATCTGTCTCTGAAAAATCAGTTCTTGATAACCTGAGGAGGCCTTCTTTGCCGCTAATTTTGCCGTGCTGGTACACGCAACAACGATCAGAAAATTTACTTGAAATATTTACATTTCAACACACGACAAATTTCTGCGTTGATGGGAGAATTTTTTCCGCTGGAGTTTCCTGCCTTTATCAGTCAAACGATAAAACTTATTGATATTGCCTCTTATACGCAACTTTCACTCAAGCGAA